TCTCTCTCTCTCTCTCTCTCTCTCTCTCTCTCTCTCTCTCTCTCTCTCTCACACACACACACACACACACACACACACAGATCCATAGTCTTAAGGTCTGTTCTCTATTGCACCTATTAGTATCACTTAGGAAGTTAAAAAATAAGGAAAATAACGACTGCTGGGTTTTCATAGAGATCCATGAAGCAGTTGTATGCTATGGGACAATGGTTTTACCATGTAAAGATTTGTTTCTTATACTTGTTTAATAAAATGCTGATTGGCCAGTAGCCAGGCAGTGGGGTGACCAGGAAGGAAGTAGAGGCAGGGCAGTGAGAACAGGAGAATTCTGAGAAGAGGAAAGACGCAGTCTGGAGTCGTTACAGAAGTCAGACACAGGAAGCAGAATGAGAATGCCTTACTGATAAAGGTACCAAGCCATGTGGCTAACACAGACAAGAATTATGGGTTACTGTAAGATGTAAGAATTAGTTAATAAGAAGCCTGAGCTAATAGGCCAACCAGTTTATAATTAGTGTAGACGTCTGTGTGTTTTTTGGGGGGTGGGCTGAACAGCTGTGGGATCAAACAGGACAGAAACCTCTGTCAACAAATGTGTAGACCTCTGTGTGTTTATTTGGGACTGAATGGCTTCAGGACCAGGTGGGACAGAAATTACTGTTAACAGTTGTAGGGTTAGCATAGAGAAGAGGATCATGCCCTGGCTTTGCTTTGTACAACTGCAATGCTGGACATTGGTCTAGTTTGCGCTTAGAAGTCCATGTTGAAGTAAATTTCTGTAAAAAGTCTGAGGAGTTACTAGCAATCTAGGTCCTTCGGTAAGAGTAGGGATCAGTTACTGTAGGGCACACTTTGTAACCTAGGCATTGTGGGCTCTAGCCATCCCTGTGGCCTTACCCTAAAAGAGGGTTTCTCAACCTCAGACTGAGGCCTGTCATAGTCATATGGGAAGCCTTTGAAGCATAGCACAGACAGGGAAGAATGTACAGATATGTATGTGTAACTGGAATCAGCATCTACGTGGGGAGTCAGAACATTGTCAGTTTTTCTGAGGCCACTATGCATACCCACAGGGCAGCCATCACCCTGGCTTCTATTTCTACAGTTTTACATGGTTTTGAATTCTCTATAAAGTAGACAAATAGTCTGTTTTTCTTCACATTTGACATCTTATATTCAAACAACAGTTGAGTTCTTTTCTTTTTGGCAAATGATCCTGCCCTTTTGTGTTCCTACATCTAAGCACAGTGAACAGTCTCCTTGGCCTTAAGTATCAACTCAAATAGATATGTGGTACAGTTAGCTTTCAGGCCAGGGATAGGAAGACATGGGCTTTTAATTCAACCTCTGGACTAGTTAGTACATAATAGAGGGGAGTAGAGCAGAGGCCCAGCCCTGTGATGTTTCCACAAAGTCTCCTCATTCGCCTAGGGATCAGGAAGAGTGCTGCAGTGGGGCCCCAACAGGACGTACTTCGTGGGCTGTCACAGGGTTGTATGGCTTCCTTAACCCCTTGTGCTTAAGTAGACAGGAGGACTCTACTAAACTCTGACATCATGCTTCTTTTTCAGACCACAGTTCCCTTAGAACTTCCACAGGGGAAACCAAGGAGACCCGATGATGGCAAGGAGCCGGGCATGCAGTTAAGGAGGCCCATCTCCGAGCTCAGACCTGCTGCTGGTAGTTGTCCCAGGTCTCTGGGAAAAGACAGTGTAAGAGCAAGCCCTTTAGAGGGTTTGCAGAAAGCCCCCTTCCCGCCACACTCGGTGGCAGACCATCTGGAAGATGAACTGGACATGTTGCTGCACTTAGATGCACCTGTGAAAGAGGAAGACAGTTCCTGTCTGGACCAGACGTCTCCGGACCAGGAACCAGAAAGAGATGGGCAGGTGGCCCAGGAGGAGACAGGTATGGCTTTCATTTTGTTTCCCATTCATCGTCTCAGTTGTGGTGTTTTTATGGGAGCAGCCCCACCACATCACCTACGCTACCCCTCTGTGTCTGTCATTGATCCAGCAGAGTCCCAGGCATCTCTTCCCCTGGGCAAACCACAGCTTCCCCTGAGCTGACCTTTCCAGCGCTTTCTCTTACTCAATATCTCAAGCTTCCAAAGTGGCTACCAGCCCGGTTGCAGTATTAAACTTAGAGCTGCAAATTGAGCGGCTGTAAAAGCCGTTCGGTGGAAGACCTTTTAATCGACTAAATAGGCTGGAAACTGATTTGGTTTTTAAAACAAAAGACTGTTTATATCTTGTAAATGTTTTGTGAGCTGGTAGCCCTTCTGATGTGATAGGCCTAAGATAACTGTCATATACAGAATTGAGAAGTCATTCCAATGTTTCAGGATTGCCTCAAAAGGAAAAGGACACTGAGCTATGCTGTTGGTCTTTGTGTGAAAACAAACTCAACACTTGTGAGCAGTGAAATTCATCGTCAGCCTAAATAGAAGAGCAAACCTGTGCCTTTGCTTATGTTCTTTAGATACTATTTGTTGTGTCTTTGGGGGTGACAATCATGGAATTTCTTCCTTGTTATGGAGAAATTAATAATTTGGGCTGAAGTATATTCTTAAACAAACCCTCCAAAAGCCTTAACCCTCACCATTGTAATTGTTGTGACGTGACTAATGTTGATTTTATTTCCATAGTTCCTGAAAAGCCATCCATGACTGGAGAGAAAACTGTGGAACCTGAACAGACAAGCACATCCAGAACTGTCACTGAGGAGGAGCTGGAGGACTGGCTGGACAGCATGATTTCCTGAGGAGGGGAGGGGTACCAAGGGGGAATATGGGCCTGAAGCAAATTTTGGTTGCCTTCTAAGTGAGGGTGTGCTAATTTACCAGAATATCCCATGCTAACATGTACTGTTAATGCTTACAGCAGCTAGTGCCTACCTCTGTTTCTGATGGCATCTGAATACATGTATGAGGCTTGCTTGGGGCTTTATTTCTGTCATTATCTGACTTAGTCACCTAATAGATTTCTTTAAGGACAGGGGATGTCATAGATATGTTTTTCCTGACAACATTGTAGAATAACAGGTGCTAATTAAGGGAATATATACAAACAGCAAGGCGTGCGTTGGTCAAAATAAATACCCTCTGGCCTGTGGGCATTTTGTTTTGCTGTGAAGCCCATGGGCTACTTGTCTCACTCCAGCCATCAGGTTGCTGTAAAGGAACGGGAAGTGGTTACATGACAAGAAGCCAAACCACGAACTGGCATGAATTACTTTATTGCAGTGGGCACTTCATTTTATTGGAGGAGATTGACCTAAAACATGGCAGCTCCACTACTTACACAGGACCATAAAGCATCACTCAAGTTTGGTATAAGATTGGGATTTTTCTGAAATTTCAGTCCAGTGCCTTTCTTCCAATGGCAGCAGTTGAGAAGCTGTTACTGAAGACATGGTGTGAGTAACCTTCAAGTACAGGTTCATCAAGTGAGACAGAGGATCAGCACAGCTGTTTAATGGAGTTGTCCTTCTGGAACACAAACATAAAAAACTTGCATAGCTATATCTAAAGAGATTTTTTTAAGGCACTTAATCGATATTTCAGTTTCGACAAAGTGTTGTTTTCTATTTCTTTAGCTGCTTAAAGCGTCTCAGGCTGAGTCTGGAAAGTCACTAGCAAGTACCATGGAAAAATTAGATTGCAGTTAACACGAGTTGAACATAATTTTGTGTAGTTCTCCCCATCAGTCCCTGGCAGGGGCTCTCGTGCACGACAATTTAGGTGTTCAAGACTTCATATTTCTCTGAGCTATTCCAAGGAACTAGTTGCTCTTAGAACTGGGAACCCTGTGAGCAGTCAGATGGAGTCCTTGACAGTTTGCCATCCTTTGTCCATTGGGCACAAATGCCGAAGCAATTTCCAAGTATAGATTTTTTTAAAAGCAGTGTAAAAGAAGAATTCTGTTGCATTAGAAGGTGACTGTCCAGAATCACAGCGCGTCTTGAACTCAGATTTACCCAAGTTGATCTTCATATTGCTTACGAAAGCAGTCGCCGGCTGGGAAGAAGTCCCAACACCTTTCCTGGTACATCTTCCACACATAAGATTCCTGAAACAGGGTAAACAAAGGGTACTTTGTGTTGAAACCTCAGTAAGCTAAGCCCAGCTTGTTTTTGCTCTGTGTGATTTCCTTTAGGGAGACCAATGGGAACTGATGCGAGGTCACGTGGACAAATTCTCACACTCTCCCCAGCCCGCTTGGTTTTGTGAGCAAGAAGTCACTGTCTTCCCACCATGGTGAAGGGGAGGAGGCAAACCTCGGTGTCTAAAAAACAGATGGGTTGAGGGGACACTTCATGCTACCTAAGGCCCGATCTACAACCCAAGTGTTTGAGCTGTAAAGTTTCCTAGCCATTGACGTCTGACTTTTGAGTAACGAGGCCCACCTTTCGTTGTCAGAGTTAGTCACAGGATTATCTGACACCGCTACTCACTCATCTGCTCTCACCACACCTCCACATTCCTGCTGCGCCCACACGCAAGGCCGCTCTTTCTTGTGCTGTCTCTCCCACTGTCTTACTCTGAATCTCCTGCTCTTTGTTCCGGCCACCCACTCCATTCTTCGTTGTCTTTTCCTCTCTGCTGTCCTCCCACCTCCAGCTATTTTATACAGAAGCAGTAAACACAATGGCTGGGAAAATGTCAGTGTTTGTTGGGAGGGATTATCAGGGGATCTTGGGGGAATAGACTGAAGTCACCATAGAGTTCTCACTTCTTACTAAGTAACAGAAAAGGTGATGGGGGAAAAATGCATCTAAGAGACTACTAGCCTCAGATGTCCCAAGTGTACTGCTCAGTTTCAAGACTTAGTAAAAGGAAGACAACACACCTAGTTCTTAGTTAAAAGCAGCTTGTCTCTTACCTGACCTGTGTGTTCTGTTTCATCCTTGTTAATCAAGTACATCAGAAAGAATCTGGAAAAAGAACAAATGGAGGAAAGGTAGGGGTTTTTAAATTAAAAAAAAACCAAAAAATTAATGTGCATGGTGGCGCTCACTCTTAATCTTAGCACTCAGGATACAGAGGCAGGTGAACTTGTTTGAGGCTAGCTTGGTCTACAGAACAAGTTCCAGAAAAGCCAGGAGTATGTAGAAAGGCTGTCTTGAAAACCACCCCACCCCCAAAAAACTAAAACCAAAGAAAAAACTATGTATGTATGTGTGTGCCTGCAAGTGCCAGCAGATTCCTGAAGAGAGCGTCAGATGTCCTAGAACTAGAGTTACAGACAGTTGTGAGCTGCCTGGGTGGGTGCTGGGAACTGAACCTGGGTTCTCTTCAAGAGCAGCAAGTGCTGTTAACAGCTGAGCCGTCCTTCCAGCCCAAGGTAGTTCTTACCCAAACTGCCTAACATCATTTACTAAGATAAGTTGGAAATATGGTTTGAAAACTAAGAAGGCTGTACGAATCAGGGAAGCATTTCTAATGATGATAGATGCTCATCTCCAAGCCAATGAGGAAGAGCCTTTTGAATTCCTCCAAATTTGAGCTAAACCCACTTGCAAGCTATCTTGCTTACCATAAAAGAAAAGCCCGACCTTTTCCATAACATTATCAATAGGTCTTTTTATCATGTTAAAAATTAGACTTGAAATCATACATTGAGGATGAGCCATGTAAAAGGTGCACAATGTTTGCTTTCCATTCATACTCCTTCTCCCAGGAGATTGCTTTGTTTCTCATGGTGAAAACCTCGGGAAAGGCAGTGTGGTTTCACTTGTGCTAAATGATCAAAGATTTGACTCTGTCTGTGACACACAAGTGTCATACACTCTCAGCTCATATTATATGACTTCAGAGATGCTTCCTAGAAGTCGCGTACCCTTGGGGAAAGGAGAGCATGATACTGGTAAAGGAAGAGAAAGTGAAGCAAGTGCCATGCATGGTAGCAGAGCCTGAGCCCCAGACCTTGAGTTTTCACAGGGTAGTACTAGATTTTATCTTGGTCCTGGCACACAGAAATGACTAACGGTGACAGCTTCTTCCCCTCCCTCTACTGAGAGTGAGAATTTCATACTTCTGTCATACTGAAGACCTGGGCCAGTGTAACATTCTTTTCCTGGCACATTTATTTAGCTGGCAGATCACCACATAGAGAGTTCCAGATCACCACACAGAGTGTTCCTTTACTGATCTTGTCTACCTCTTCCAAACAGAAAGGGAGAAACAACATGAGCAGACTGGACTTTGTGACAGAGTTATTTTGTTTTGTCCTGAAGATGACAACCTTCACCAGACTACTTACAAGTAATTGGCCAAGTTGTGCTCTTGCAGCGTATGTGTTTCAAAACCATGAGGGGTTGTGTCAAAGTAGTCGTTGCCAATGCCACAGATGAAGCATTTCGTCTATGAAAACAAACAAAAGGAAACCACCTTCGTACGCATAGCTGCAGAGGAAGGAAAACCGCTGGCAGCCTGCTGAACTGGGGACAAGGAAAGCTGCCTTCCTCTTTAATGCTTTGGGCTATTAGGCCCTTACTCATCCTACCTTGCTAATGCTGCTCCCTCCAGTATGAAACAGGAAGCAGCTGTGTGTCAGGCATGGGAAGGTGTAGCACACAGGGCATTAATGCCCAGGGCTGGTAGCTTGGTGCAGGGGAAGCGAGACAACAGGCATGGAAAGTTTTAGTAGTTTTGCTTAGGGACGGCCCTAATTAATAGCCCTGTCTATGGTCTGAGGAACCTGTGTGGGGTTGAAATAAAGTAGAAAGAATGATACCTCCATGTCTTCACGCACTTGTTCCTGCTGGTCTCTCAGCTCTCCAAAAGCATCAATAATCAGACCTGGATTTTAAATACAAAGGACAGAGTACCTTCTTCTGCACCATAGTCTCGGGGGGAGAAGTGGCAGAGCCCATTTTGATTTGTCAAAAAAAATGAATTATCAAACTGAGCTTGTCAATTACAGCAAAATTAAAGGGGGGAAAGGGCTATGTTTTCAAGCACTTGGTCCTGGCTAGTCAGTTCTCACTGTTTCTCTTCCTGTGCTTCGGTGCTGACAGCTGCTTCCCTTAACTCTTTCTCCTCCTGATCCCCTGGATATCGATCATGTGTTCTCATTGTCTTTGATCAATGTCTTCTCTCATCGTCTTTGCTTCTGAGTCCTCAACACTTAAATATCAGCACCACATTTCAGAATGACTCAAATTAAATTTATCATCTTTGCTTCTTCAGTTCTTAGCAAACTGTTGACTAAAATATCAGTACCTTCCTATCTGCTCTAAAAGACAATAAGACATGTCATATTTTTATAGCTCCTTTCTCTCCTGTTTCCACACCTCTCCACATGGGCGAACAAAGAAAAGGGTAAGGCAACCGCAGGAGACATCTAGGAAGCAGGAGGGATGAAGACATAATTTAGGGTGAGGAGTACTCTGTGCATGCCCTCAAGTTTTTTGAAATTGTCTAGGGGGCTCTTTGGCTCTCTATTTACAAGACTTCACAGACAGTAAGTGCTCAGTGAATTGTTAAATTGACAAGTTAGATGAATTAGGGAAAAAAACTTCTTTGTAAAACAATCACTTGATGGATATAGAAAAGCAAAACAAACTAGATTTATTTAATCCAACTCCTATGTATTGTCATTGACAACCATACCTTGAATGATGGCCAACAAGATGACAATGACGAAGAAGAAGAAGGTAATGTCAAAGACGATGCGATACATCTCATAAGGGTCACCAGCAGGGTCTTCAATTTCATCACCAATGCCGCCACCCGCTCTCACTCCCACATACATGTGGAAGAGGTAGCACTAGGGAAGATGGTGGTGGCAGTTCAGGTGAAAGGGGAACGGCTCTCTAGGAGCATAGTCACGTCACACTACACACCTAAGCATGACAGTTCTGAACCGGGAGCAGGGACCTTCTTCAGTGGTGCTGGCCTTTGCTGTCCACTGCACCCAGCTTGCTGTCTACC